CAATTTTGGCTACAGAAAGAAAGCTTTGAGCAACTTTCTTGCCTCGAGTTCATCTTTGAAAACAGCAAACAGCGGAAAGCTGGCTTTAAACATATTATAAAGCTTTATGCTTAAGGTGTTTTGATACAGTGTTTCGCAGACAATACCAATATTTTTCAATCGCCTTAAAACGGATTTTATTCTTGTCCAATCGCCATAAAATTTTCGCCAATGATTGATTATGGATTGAAGTTTGTCAAAACGTAGTTGTAACTAAAATCGTTACTACTATGGCAACAATAAACAAAAAAATTAGAAATTGATAAAAACCGAATTTTGGGCAATCTAGACCTGCTACTAAAAAATCCAACACTAGGAACTTAAAGTTTGGTGTTTAGCAAAGAACTCCCCTGAGGAATAAGAAATTCTGTATGTTTGAATTCAAATAAAATGTACCTAGTATTTCCAATAGCCATGATAAATTATTTAGTAAAAAGGTTCTAAATAACTCAAGCTAATCTTCAGAAGCGTCGAACGCTGCTTTATATCATATTTTGATGCTGGGAAGGTTTGGTGCATTTTCATTCTTGCGATCTTGAAAACCAACCTGCTTTCTCACCACCTGACTAATAATAATAAATGTCTTTATTCCTCATGAGATAAAAATACATATCCAATGTTACAGGATAAAAAATTAAAAGTTCAGCTAAATTACAGTAGAATAAAAAGATTAAAAAATGCGAAAAACTAGTTACACATGTCTGACATAAAATATCATAAAAGATTGTATTTAAAAATCAATCTATTTGCAAATGTGTTCTTATAATGTCCAGTGTTTATCTAGGGCTTTCAGAAGCTTTTACGTCTAAGATTGTAAGTTAGATTGTTCTTTTCTTACAGTAAGCACACCTTCAGAGGGTGATTATCATGCTGTTTAGCTTTTTGAAAAATCGCTTTATCTTGTTTTTGTAGTAATGATCTAATATTTAACTGTGTATAAATAAAGCGTAGCTTATAGCATCTGTCTAAAAATTGCTGAAGGACATTAATTTCTGCAACAAAGGCACCATAAACAGATAGTGCGTAGGTTATGTTAGGGAAAACAATACTATAGAAAAGATAATCAATTTCTGTCTGGCTGTAGCGCTCTTTCCTACATACTCTCGGCAGGTGTAGACATTTGTTGGCCTTGCACAGTTTAGCTTTTGTGTGTGCCGAAAATTTGCAGTTATTCTGAAAGGTCAAACCTAATAAATCAAGAGTGGCATGTTGTGGTATATTACATACCACAGGATAGAATGTGGAGTTCCCTTTCTTCTTTATGACAAGTTCTTTACACTCGTTAGGGTTACAGCTCATCGAATTACAGTTCGCCCAAGTTAAAAACGCCGCACTAAATCACTAGATGTATCACTGCCTCCTTTCCACACTAGTGCGACGATGGTTGAGTCATCTGCGTATTTGAAAAGAGTAGGAGTGGAACCTAGTTTGATTTCAAGGTCATTCAGAAACACGCTAAATAAGTAGGGGCCGCTCACAGTACCCTGCGTTGTCCCCTTGTTTACTCCTTTCCACTCGCGAAGGTGGTTGTTTTGGACTATACTTGATACCACTTGATGATATAGGCATTCAGGGGCAGCAACTTTAGTTTATAAGATAGTAGCTCATGTCTGACTGAGCTGAACGCTTCGCTGAAGTCCATAGCGAATACCCGTACTGCCTCACTGTCTGGATTATCTAAGTGTTTGTTGATAAAGTGCTGGATTGTTAACAGTGCACTAGTGCAATTTCCACTTTCACGGTAAGCAAATTGAGTGGTGCTTAGATTTTCCTCCACAGCCTCCTTCATGAAAGTGTTATAAACAACTTTCTCAAATGCCCTGGCTATAACTGGAGTGATATTTATGCCACAGTAGTCAGACTTTTCTTTAGGTATGTCAACCTTGGGTATCGGATTTCTATTAGATCTTTTCCATGACATAGGCCGGGTGTGCGTGTGCAGAGACAAATTCCAAATGTGACTGAGAATTGGTGTTAAAATCTTAGCATGTTCCTTCCAAACCCAAAAAGGAATGCCATCAGGACCGGTGGCTGTTCGTTTGATGTTGCTAAGACTTTCCCAAACAAGACTCTCAGGAATTTCAGGTACTTCAATTTCACTCCTGACAACCACATCGACTGGTGCAATGTAATTCTAGCCAGTACAAAGTTCATGAAAATAATCATTCAGCTGGTTGGTAGCTAGCTGAATCACCCATGGGATACATGCTGTAGTAAACAACTCGTCGAGATCTTGTTTACATTGCCAGTACTTTGCCGAGTCTTCTGGCGGTTCTGGTTTTTGGTACACAACTGGGACAATCCGTTTGAAGGATCTATACAAAACAATATTAAAAGCTGTGAGACTCAGAAAATTTAATAGCACAAGCAAACTTAAGCGCAACTTAGTTACATGGTTTTTGTCTATTTTCTTTGCCGTCTCATAATTAACTTGACACTTGACATGGCTTTCTGTTGTTCCATCTTTGTCACCAGTGTAAGAAGGATACTTAGAGCCATGATTTGTCACATTGTTGAAGCGTGCCACCGCTATTCCAGGCTCTATAGACTTTAAAGAGCCACTGTGATCTTTTCTGCAGTTATGCGACTCAGCATTTGATTCACCAGCATTCTCACTTTTGCGGCAACGTGTAGATCTGATGCCATAGTCATGAACTTTTCCAGTGGACTCTCCAATCTCTTTCCCAAATCCTGTTATTGAATCTGTGCCTTTCCGTGCTTCTGCCATGCCCCGTCATATACCACTGATATAAGTGCATCCCGCTTGCTGTCTACCATGTCAGATTCTGCCTTCTCCTTTGCCCTGTAATGTGCGCAACTTTCCTGACAAACACTCTCAATTGCTGCTCCAACTTCAGTTCCCTTGCTTTGGATGTTGCTTCGGTCATTTCACCAACCCAAGTATAGATGAATCGGCTTTCAGGTGGCTGTGCGAGCCAGTACGAATCATTGCTAATGGTGCCCTTGTATTCAGTGTAACTGTTTCAGGGCCTCGTCTACCCATTCTGTGAAAACAGTATGGCTTGATCTTGTTCTCTTCTTTGCAATCCTTGCATTTAACATGCAAAACCACACCAAGTCCTATATGCATGGGTGTCTTTCATCTGTCGTCGAGTGATAATGGTCCAGCGTGGCACTTTTGGCACTGCCTTAATCCTTCACCTAATAATTTAAGATTAACGATGTAATTTTTGTCTAATTCTGGTAAGGTTTGCCAACGTGCAGAGTGAAGTTCCAGGCTCCCCTGGCTTGAAGATTGCTGGGAGCTTCTTGGGGTGGCTTTCTTTCAATGCTTAGCTCTGAGGGCTCGTAAGCACTGTCTTCTGTATTCCAGCATTTGATACCTTTTTGTTTGTCCTGATGTGACCTTCCTTTTTTTTGTCTTTAACAACCTTGCCATGATGACTTTCTCTAGCAATATTTCTGGCACAATTTCTGACAGCAAAGTGAAAGGTTTTTTTCTTTTTGTCTTAGTTAGCATTTTACTCATTTATATTCATTTCAAGCATGGAAAGTCTCCATATTTTGTGAGGCCTGATTTTTAATATGATTACAAGATAAAGTTAGCTTAACGAAAACGTTCGTTTGCATATGATCTATGTCTGTTAACAGCCTGAACAGTTCTTGTAAATACCCACCAGTAAAGGAGCATTATAATGTATACATAGATATATTGCAAACATACGAGCTACAGTTTATAGCAGTGTTGATGCGACCCATTATTTCGGAGTCCTTTAGGGCAGAAAATGAAACCATCCATCAAGAAGGAATGTACAGTTAGGAGAGCTGGATAGTAAAACAAAAAGGTTTTGTTGCTAAATACAATAACCAAACAATGCCTTTCATTGAGATGATGCAATGTCATATGGCCTGCCATTTTGAACATAGGAGAGAGTGGAGACTGGACCGAGTTCCCATTCATGTTCGGTTTCACTGGTATGCTTTGTCATGTGTAAGAAATTCGAGGGTAATTTCACAATGGCACTTTGTTCCTTTGGAGGGGTAAGTAATCAGTGCGGTGTCACATCATGGGCTGCACACGAAACAGGAATGGTTCCTTTGTTGTCTTGCGAGACAGACATGACTGAATGGTTGAAGGAAAAGTACAAGGGGTAAGGTGTGTTCAGGGCAAGAGGAAGACCTGGTTATACCAAAGCTACAGGTGATTCAAAATATCAGTTAGGCATCATACACGCGCACAAATGGCTTGTACTGCGATCCAGTGGACTCTTTATATTGAAGAGAGAGCACGATACTTTACGATATTGTTGTCTCAAATTGTTTGTTTATGACAAAGATTTCCCGAGGTAATCTACTTGGTTCTTGTGCAGAGAAACAAACATTCAACAAATTGTTCATAGGAAGGGCAAAAGAATTGACTAAAATCAAACTTTGAAAGGTAAGAGTACAGTTATTTTATTGCAGCAATCTTGTGAACCAAAGCAACGATAAGAATAACTGAAGCCTGTTTTTCGTCTGCTTGTTCTGTTTGTTTACATTCAGCTTTACCTGTGCAGATGCTTATCATGCAAATATGACAATTCGAGCTTGAAACTCTACCATTTTCCTTTATTTTCCAGTTTCGTTGAAGAAAAGTGAAATTGAAAACTCTTTGCAAACATCCTGCATTAAAGCTTTTCGATCAAATTGACATTTTAGGGAAAAAATGTCTTGTTTTGCAGATAACATTCTTGGTTAAAAAAATTACTTGGATACATTTTTAATTACTTATAATTAGTTATTTTAGTACGTAAATAGAGGTGGGCATAATTTTAGAAACACCAGGCCAAAGAAAATAATTGCACAGGGACAACATAAATCAAATGTTTCAACGGTAATTGATGGGTTCGGTTTCTCATGAGACCGTTAATGAAATATTGATCAGTGCAATCTTCAAATAATGGTTCCAATCTGTAAAATAAGCACATAGGCTTAAGTAAACATGACTTCACACGAGAAGTTTACTTGATATGACCTCTGCAGAATGGGCAGCTGTAAGAGGTGTCTAGTTGTGCTTCACAGCGGCAGTGCACCCATTGGCCGCACTTCTTTACTGTACACAGCTGCCAATCGCCTTGCTTACAGGTCTTGCACAGGGGACATTTGTTCACATCCCTCTCTTTTCCTCCCCGTGCCGTCTCCTTCTTCTCGAACTCTCCCGGAGTCTCCTTAACCACCAACATTTCTGCTGCTGTAGGAATTGGACAGAAATAGGCAATTCATCAGCTTCACGGAGAGAATGTTATGCAGTAATATGTCCCTTTTTGATACACGTCTAGAGCTGAATAATAATGGCATAATTGAATATAAGTGAAAGATAGTAATATTTGTCTGATTTGGCGCACGTAGAGTTTAGTCTATATGTTTTTATAAGGTCTATAAGGGTTAGGAATACTGTCAAACTCCATTTTACAAACACCTGCATTCAATAGGGAGACCATGTTATTACGGAAAGTTTGCTTTTAAAATGTACTTTCAACTCGTTTGATATGGACTCCTCGTTAATGCAGACACTATTTGTATGGCCCCCTCAGTGTCGGTATTAACAAAGTTTGACTGTACGCTGCTGAACAACATAGTTACATTTATTGCACAACAAATACTTTCCCCATACCTTTAACAACAGCTATATCTGCAGCTCTTTTGGTGGAACTTTGTTCTGTAACAAGACGACGAAAAGACGTGAGCCTTCGCGATTAGGTTTTTGTTACTATTGAGGCAGACTTCGCTAACAAAATATGCTATCATAAAAAAAAACTAATATTTAATCATGCAACATGATGCCAGCCAAAGGAGCGTAACATAGACTCTAAGACTAATATATCATAAGCGTAAAAAATGCAGAGTGATGTATCCAGTCAGTGTTAATATCATTTGCCCGATACAAATCAAGTTTGATCATGAAAGTAACGATCGTTATTTCCAGCCAAATTATTATTCATCTTTTTCGAATGAGAAAAAACACAGCGTGTAAACTGCCCAAAGATACAGTTCTATAACAATTGTTGTGATTGTATTAGTAGTAAACTTCCAACAAATTCGAAAATATCTACTTCACCTTTTCCCACTTCCAGTTCTCCTCTAAGTGACAAAATCTCCCCTTTCTTCGCTTTTACCAATTCTTGAAACTTCTCCCTTTCTTTCTTCTCTTCCGAGGCCCTTGTCTTCAACTCTCTGTTTTCTGACTTCAAGTTTGCTATCTCTGCTTCATAGTCTTTTCTCATCCCCGCCAAAATTTTCTCCAAGTGTTCTTTTTCTCTCAGCGTACTTTCCAATTCTGTAAAGAATAAAGGAGCCATCAACGGATATCATTGCCACTGGATCGTATGCAGTGCAGTAAAAAGAAATCCATGTGAAAAACACCCTCTAGGAAGTTAAAAGCAAAGGAACCAAAACAGTCAGTATTCCATTTATCTAAGAATCTGACTGAACCCGCCCCCTTCATGATGTGCGATAAGCCATTACAAGATATGGCAATATACGCAATAGCCTGTACACAGACCTTGTTTTCTTTTTGTTTTTCGAAAAAACGACGAGCGTGAGAAAGAAATTTTTTTCTCTTTTCCTCAGCCCCACCACTTCCATTAGTGGTCAATAAACCCGCCGCAGTTTTTCCACAATTTCTTAAGAGAAACTAGAAGTCCCTTGAACAGGCTACAACTACAAAGAGGTATGTTACACAGTTTAAATTACCAGCGTTGGCCTCCCTTGCCATAGAAATCTCTCTTTCCTTTGCTTGTAGTAATTCTACCAACTTGTTCCTTTCCTCTTCCTCGACAGAGACCCTTGCCTTGAATTCTTTGTTTTGTGATTCAATCCTTTTAATCTCTGTTTCATGATCTTTCGTTAATGATGCTATAGATTTCTGCAACTGCTCTTTTTCTCTGATCAAGGCTTCCAAATCTACTAAAGAATAAGGGGTTACCTTTAGCCGAATAGCAAACAAGGTGGTTTACTTATTTAATGATTGAACAGTCTGACTAGCTTGGATGTAAAGCTCGCTGCAGGTGGTTAAAGCCACGGAAATATTGCTGTGATGAAATTATATTTAGAATTCCTTGTATTGTAATTCTTTACAAGTTATAAGACATTAACAGGTAAACCTTACTTCTTTGATCGTTACAACCTGTGGGGTGCGCGATTGAAAGTCAACTTTTCGGTAGTGCTCTCCAGTCGTGTCTGGTAATTTTTCTAGAATAAGAAATTTTGCTCGTTTGACGGCAGGAACATGTGTGCATGCCACAAGCATCGTGGTAGATTTTTTTCGCAAAATGTTACCCTTGTATGCCGAACAATTTAATATGCAAGGATTCCTGCTCTTGATTGGCTGTATTCTGGGGCATAGGATAAAAAGACACACCTGAATCATCCTTCCCCATGCTAACATCATTCATCTCCTTGTCCTCCTGTAGATTTCCTGTTGCTGAAATAAGGGGAACCAAAGAGGGAAAGTTTAAACAA